TACTATTTACTATATGTATCACAACATACAATAATAAATATTTGATTTATGTACCTAACAATGCATTAGCTTTATTGTACTCCGTATCATAATTTATTAGTAACTGATAACATCATAACACATTTGGTAAGCAGCCCTTAGCGGCTCGAGTACCTGTAATTTTATTATCCCTATTGACATATATATGTATGAGTTGGTTTATTGCATTTATTACTTAACTTTCTATATATATATATATGTATATATTTTAGGTGACTCTCCTTGTTATAATTTCCTTAAGTGGTCTAGTCACTCACTATCAACTTTTTTTTTTTTTTTTTTAATTTAATTTATTTATTTTTGGTCACTTAAACTTGGAACCTTCTATGCCTGGTACTTTATCTTCTAAGTAACACTTTGCGAATTAGAGTCATGCCTCGTGCTATGCTCTCTTTGTTCTCGGTCCTGGGTCCTTCATGCTCAAAATTTCCAAATCTTAGGGTTCCTCAGCGCAATCCTTTATCACAAATTTCAAGTCCTTGCCACAACTTCGGGGTTATCTAAAGAGTGATCCCCTCCATGAGGTTCACAAATTTAATCTTCTGATGAGCTTCCTCCCCCTAAGCTCACTTCCACAAAAGTTGACCTCTTTAATGGGCTCCCCTCACTTAGCTTGCGTACTTTCATTTTCTCTTAGGATAATTTTATCTTTTTTGTTTGCTAGAAGTCGTTGCGCCAACACTTCTACTAGACAGGGGGGCAGGGGAGTAAGTCATATTTTGTATTGTCTTAGAATATATATATATATATATATCCTTGAGGGACTTGTTAAAAAAAATTATTATTATTTTATTATTATGAGATCAAAATTTCTCCTTTGAGTAGGGTGTTTGATTACCCTTGTTTTCCTTTTCCATGCTCGATCTTCACCATCAACATTTTTTAAGAAAGTACGTTTGATCAGGACTAGCATGCACCTCTTAAAATACATCTCTCACTCGAGTACCCCTTATAACTCGAATGCAACTTCAAAGCGACACCTTCTCTCTCGATGCCTCTGCATCTTAGGACAACATCTCTCACAACTTCCCTACCTTGGGTCAGCATTGCACGACATATCTAATGCGTCTCAATATTTATACTCAATCCCTTTTATTTTATTTATTTCGACTAACTGATAGTTACGTTTTTCTTTTATTATTATTATTATTATTGTTATTATTATTATTACTGGTGTTGTAGTTGTTCGTTATGTCATATTTCTATTATTACACCATAATGCTTTTAACCTTGATAAATCGATCTCTTCACTGTTGAGTTGAAATTAAGAGGTACAATTATCAATTCATTTTGTTTATATATATACACACATTCTAGTTACCATTACTGTTATAAAAAACTGCATCTCGCACTATTTCATGACTTTACTAGGCGATGCAAATTACACCACATAGCCTGAATTGGAAACAAGATAGAATTATTTTATTAATTATTATATTCTATTACAACCTGTTTTCTAACAATATGATTTTTTTGTGCGAGGAACATCTCAACTTGGATAAAATATACTTAGTACATTGACTTGGGGTGCGCCTATCTATAACAAAGGCCGAAGCTCCATGGGATCCCCACGCTATCAAGAGGGAACTTTAAACACACATAAGTCTCCATGGGGTGCACCTATTTATGTATATAAATAATAATTGATAACTGAGCATTGATAAGTCTCGGTTCTGGCTAAAAGAATATAAAAAAAAAAGAAAAAAAAGAATGAGGAGTTCCTCTCTACGGATAAACCTCAATGAGTTGTCTGAGATCCTTTCTATGAATATTTTCTTTTTACTTCCAGTCTTTTGCTCGAGTTCCCTCTTCGCGACCTCGAGCAGGGAGTAAAATGTTGATAATCGCACCACGCTAGCTATCCAAGTGGTGCCATCTCTGAAAATAAGTACACCTGGCCAGTACTTATCTGGCGTGCTCCTGAAAAATGTTGATTGTTGATATATGTGCCACGACGTCTGCTGGAGTGACACCATCTCTGAAAATAAGCACACCTGGTCAGTACTTATCTGGTGTGCTCCTGAAAGGACTAAGTATACTCGAGCTACTCGTCCTATAACTGAACTCACTGGCCGAGGAAGGGGTCGATACCCTTCCTCCCTTGTGGACGCACCCCGCTCCAGTCGAATGGGCCCCTCCTCCCCTCTTTTCCAATGTTACTTCTTGCAGGCGTAACCTCGGGCATTTTTTCTCTCGAGCTCTCTGTAACTGTGAGGACCTCGAGACGCAGAGCTAGGTTAGCTCACATTTATGAAGCTGACTTTTCTATTGAGCTCCCCTCAGTCTTTTGCTCGAGCTCCCTCATCGCGACCTCGAGCAGGGGGGCAAAATGTTGATAATCGTGCCACGCTAGCTGTCCAAGTGGTGCCACCTCTGAAAATAGGCACACCTGGCCAATACTTATTTGGCATGCCTTTGCCCCTGAAGGGACTAAGCATTCGTCCGGCAATCATCAGTGCCGAGTGCTCGTCCAAAGCATCGAGCGCTCGCCTGGCAATCATCAGTGCCGAGCGCTCGTCCGAAGCTCGCTACTCTTCCTCCCTTTCTTTCCGAGGTTGCTTCCTGCAAGCACAACCTCGGACATTTTTCTCTTCTCGAGCTCCCTTTTAACTACAGGGACCTCGAGGTGCAGATCCAGGATAAAGCTCGCGGGGTTGAGAAGGCGGAACCCTGGGGGAGGCTCTTTCCCTATCTTCGATTGCGGGAATCTGAGTATCAGTTGTTAGGTGGCTGAGTTCCAAAGAATCGCCTCACTTCGAGGTCTACACAAGGGGGAGAGAATATTTAATACCCAACATCTAAGCTCGAGTAATAGAAACCACATAATATTTATTAAATATATATCTCACAGAATGACCATTGGATAAATAAAGAGCTACCATTGTAAACAGGGGTCCTTACCTAGCCAGAGTGACCACTGGATAAAGAGAGAGTTAGCTCTCATAACCAAGGGTCTTTAGCCAAATGAAAATAGTATAAATAGGGCTTAACTCTCACCATTTAGGGGGGGGGGGGGGGTGGAAAAATACAAAGGCACAACTATAACCATAAAGAATGGTCTTCTAGAGCTTGAGCTACCATAGGGTGTTAAGCAAATTTGCCTTCTCTCTCTTAATCTCTTTTATGGAGAATCCCTTGTGCTAGCTTGGAGCTCCACTTAGTCTCTGATCTCAGCACCCCCGATAGACGTGGATTGATCTACACATATCATCACGAACTATCATCAACAACCTGCAAAATATCCCAAGCTTCTTTAGCAGTTTTTCAATCAGAAATTCTAACATATTCAGATGGAACAACATAATTAATAATTGAATATAAAACTTTGCCATTAGCATCATTAAGCTCAGTTTCAATAGCAGTAAAAGAAAAAGTATCTTTTAATTCTTTGACTATTCTACCATCCATAGTTGTATCTACTGTAGGAGGTGTATAACCAGATTCAACTATTGCCCAAGTTTTACCATCAAAATTTTGCAAATAAGCTCTCATTTTTTATTTTCAAAAATTGTAATTATCTCCTTCAAATAAAAAACCCCGTTGATTAAAACCACTTTCTTTTAATGCATAAGACATGTTTAAAACAATTTTTGAAAGCACAACTAAACTTTCCAACAATGATCAACTCAATGTGTAGAGATTGGCTCTAATACCAATTTGTGAGTCATACGCAGCGGAATGTATTTCAGGAAAGTTTTAGATTTTATAAAATAGATGTGTGTCGTTATCAACTTTACTTATTTTAGCAATTAAACAGTAATCACATGCAGATAAAATAAAGCAAAATAAAGTTAGAGATGACATCAGGATTTTAGTGAGGAAACCTCAGTTGATAAAATACGTCAACTGTTATAGGAAAAACCTCGTGGAATTGTGCAGTCCAAAGTAAACCAATCCACTATATTTGAAACAAAGTATACCAAACTTTGACTATGGCTCACACTCTATCGTTCTATCCAACACAACTGCTGACGATCCTCTGGCTTTGCAACTCCCCGTCTAACAACAACTTGACCTCAGGCTTACACTTGATATTTGTAGAAGAGTAGTAGGTAGATCAGATAGCACTCTACGAATGCTCCAACCCTTCCAAATTGTGACTGCGTTTACTTCTGTTCTTCAACTGTCTCAATGATGTAGACGAAGATCTGTTTCGTCTGATCGATGTTAATACGATTGTATGATCACGATCAGGATTCGAACTTCACAACTCTAACCTAACTAGGTGAATATGTGTATGTTCTACGAAGACACCAGAAAAATCAACTTTGATTTTCTGATAATGATAAACTTGCTAAGGCTTTGTATGATATATGAATAATGATTAAAAACAGTAAATAAACCAATGTATATGACATGGTTTATATAGATAATAGAATGACCTAATTCTTCTAAAAATAAGGAAAAATTCGTACATAGGATTTGGTACAATTCTAAACGAACTGGGAAACAATTTAGGATAAGGAAACTGAAGTTGTATTGTAAACAAGACATCTTGAACTGGTTCAAAGAGGCTGAACCGGTTCAAGTTTGGCAGAGAATTTTCGAAGCCAAACTTGAGCATCTTGAACCGGTTCAGAGGGGCTGAACTGGTTCAAAGGGGTTGAACCGGTTCAAGGTTGGCAGATCTGAATTTTTTGATTTCTTTAGCCTAGATTAATTCTACGGTAAGTTCCAACCAAAATGGTAAGTGTAGAATGTGTCCAATTTTGTTTAAAATCCTTCCTAAAGTGGTGTTCTTACATTATTCTTCAAAAATCTTCGAGTATGGTAAGTTTGAACACCTTCCTAGTTCTGTAGTCCCTGTCGAACTTGATAACTTGTAGAACAAGTAATTTGAATTACAACTCAACTTGGACTTGTTATGTCTACGATAATTGCCAAAAATAAATTAATATCTCATCGTATGTACATGCATGTATATAATATGCTGAAACTTTTTAATTTGTTTTTAAACGTAGATAGTGTCTAACGGGGAGTACAGAAGTGTTCAACACAGGGTGGTGGCCAACTCCTCTAAGGAGCCTCGTATCTCTATCGTCATGTTTTTCAACCTTACCAAGTGGAAAGAACCTGGCTACTATGGACCTCTATCAGAATTGTTGACGCCGGGGAAACCAGCTATATACCGCAATTTCACCACTCAAGAGTTCATTGAAAACTTCTACAGCAAAGGAATTGATACCAAATCTCTAATAGACAAAATCACAATATGAACTAATTTTATATATATATATATATATATATATATCAATCAGTGACCATGTGTAACAGACTCCATATATGTATATGTTTTCTTTACCTTTTTTTTTTTTTTTTAAATGTTATTTCGGTATCCATTGTATGTGATCCCCAACTGCAGCTATATTAATAGTTATTTGTAGAATAACTTTGATCAACAGCTCAGTACATGTGTGCTTAAGGTCTTATTCGATATCTTATTTAATATATATATATTCAATATATATGGTTGATAAAACTTTATGCACATTGTTTAATTGGAGATGAATGCCATACTCAGCTGCATTGAATTGGTACAACTTTGTATTGCACATTGACCAAATATTGATGAGAAATGATAGACATGAGAGCATCAATTTTCAAATTGCTCATGGACGAAACATAGCAATATATAACATACTAATAATGATACATTAGGTGGAGGTTAAACAAAAATGCAAACATTTGCATAATTCTTGTTGGCACATCACATTAAAATATATATATACATATAAAATAAAAAAAGAAAAAAAGAGAGGTGAAGAAGAAGTGGGCCATACCCACAACACCCACAAAACATAAGCATGCATTTTCTCGCCTTTTGTAGCTCCTATAATTTTTTTCTAATGATTGTGCATATGAATAATGAAGATCAGCATGAAGAACAACAGGAGATCATCGATGGCGCTCGCCCTCACATTAAATCAAGCAAAATAAAAATTGATTACACCATTTCTGGTACGATTGGATGTTGTGATGGAAATACTAAATAATGATGTCCGAGGAATAAAACACAAAAATTATCAAAGAACAAATTAATCACACAACATAAACTTAGTTAATTTACTCAGAAGATTGTGTTAGTAGATTTAAATATTAATTTATATTCTGACCAACGGTTTAAAATTTTAGAACAGAGAGTTCTTAACAAACCTTTCAAGACAATTAAGCATAGATTTATTCTGCATTACAAGAATGAGTAAATATATATATTGTGTAAGAATTTTTGGGCTTCCATTGATTAACGTTATTAAAATCCGGATTGATGATTGAAACCATATACATGATTATCGGATACCCTATTAAGGTGATTATAAATTATTGGGTTATGGTATACTTTAATCACATGTAATCATGTGTTATGAGATATGGATAAGAATATAAATATATATTAGTATTATATATGGTTATCTATAATGCGATAAACATAACTCACGTTACGTTAAGTTTGTTATTATTTGATAAGGATCCCTTGATGGGAGGGATTTTATCAGATATGTTATAGATATTGTTTGGTCCTCACTCTCACATATACGTTTAATTCAGTTTAGTCTAGCCCCATTGAATAGACGTCTAAGCAAAAGTGGAGAGGGTGGAAGATCAAGCAAAACGTTTTTTTTGCAGATCTTGTAAGTTGTTCTACTTTTCGGTGCGTAATAGCTTCCGCAGGTATTTATTGTTACATGCTGTTAATTATTATATTGTTGTGTTTTAAGCATGTGTATGGTTTCCTAAATTCTATTTTCATATTGAACAATGATAATTTAGAGGAAAAAAATGATAATTCAAATCTATAACACTAATGAGTTTTTGTTTTCTGAAAACTGTCCTGTAGTTTTCTCAACCAAGCAGATTTTTAAATTAAAAAACCTGAAAACTGTTCTCTGTTTTCGTTCTGTCAAAACAGTTTTTGAAAACAATTTTGAGAGAACAAAACCAAGCAAGGCCTATAGATTTAGTGGGTTTTCACTTTTCACATGTTTTTTTGTTTTCTTGTTTTTGGTGGTTTAAAAAGACCACCGCCATCCTCCTACAGTCACCATTGCAAGAAAAACTTAGATTTAGTGTAATTTGACGAGTAAGTCTCAAGTCGTGAGCATTTGGACGAGAGTAATTGCAAATCAGAGATGTTCAACAACTAATTAGTAATAATGCGGAGTGGGTGTGAGCATATATAAGATTTAGTCTGCTGGGATAATGGATTGTCTCCATGGTTTTTCCCCTAGTTGGTTGGGTTTCTTCCAGTAGAGTTTCCACTATAAAAATCCTCATATAAATATGTGAGGACCAATAATAATAATTATTGTTATATTATTATTATTATTGTATGATATTATTGAAGATATAGATAGACATATGCTTGTATTTTTTTTATTGGGTTTAATTCAGTTAGACCCTCTATGGTTTGTCCAATCTTCAAGGAAATTTCTCATATTTATAAAAATTCACCCCTTTTTTTCACTCAAATTACCCCTCAACGGTTATGTTTGACTACATACTATATACCATCTTTGCATTATATTAAAATCCCTCTCAATAGTGCACAAATTGCCCCTTGTGTGTGTGATTTTGGCTGTTTTGAATGGTTGTGCCCGAGCGCGCTCAATCCCGTGATCATCATCAGCAACCGGCGCCATGATTGGTCCGTCAAGTCCGGCAAATGCTTTTCTAGTCAAGCTCAATAACTCCGGTGTGGCGTAAAGTCCATCTCCAGTCCTCCTCAAAAACTCCTTTTGCACTTCTATCACTAAATTCAACTCTATGAATTTCATCTCAGCACTACAGCATAAACGCATGCTTTGAAAGATGAAAAAATTATTAATAAATAATTATTACCTCCATGTGAAGAAATAATATAAAAATGTTATAGTATTAATATCATGCGCACGGATATTCATATGTATTTTTCTTGTTCTTGTGTTTTTATATTAATTATTATTTTATTTTACAAAAAATATTATGTATAAAGTACCACCTTCTTTCATTGTGTGTTTTACTAACAGTATGACCATGCTAGCTACTTTAAAGTCACAAACATTTCACTGTAGTTTGAACAAATCAAACATTTAAATATATATAAAAAAAATTTAAAATTTGTCGGATCAAAAGCTTGTTCTTCTTAGCTGGCGCAATTAGCATACACCTTAAAAGGGAAATCAGAGTATAATTTAAATGAATTATTGGTACTTCATTTGATCTTCCACTCGCTCGACTCTCCTGTTGTGGTTTTGTGGAGTCTAATTAGGTAGAAGATTTTTAGTAAGATTTAATTATATGAAATTTCAAGAGTATTGAATTTTAGAAAAAATTTAGTTTCTTAATCTGTTAGGGAAAATTTAGTTTCCTAATCTGATTTGACTTCCTTATTGGTTTAAGGAAAATTCAGTTTCCTGATTTGATTTAATTTCCTTATTGGTTTTGGATTCTACAAAAGGCAAGTTCTTGTAGGACAAGTTTGGGACTTTATAAATAGGGGTGAAAGTTAGAGATAAAAGTGTGCCAATACAAGAGAGAGCAATTGAGAGAGATTGAGAGAGATTGAGAGAGAATTCTCCTTATAATTCTTCATCTTTTTCATAGTGATTTTGTTCAGTGTGCTCCATGGACGTAGCCCTAAGATTTGGGTGAATCATGTATATATTGTGTTCTTGTTTGTGATTTTTTTTTTTATTCTTCGTGATTGCTTGTTTATTTCTTGAACAGTATTATTTATTTTGCGTTTCCGCCACAACAACTGGTATCAAATCCGGTTGATTGTGTAGTGTAACTCTAACAACTGGTATCAGAGCCTTTGGTTGAGAACCTTGGGCACAGAAGGTGTTTGACGAAATTTTGAAAGTCTTTCTATCAGATCTGTCAGATCGAGTGGGAGTAATGGCATCAGAAGATAAGACATCCACATCTATGATCGAGAAGTTCGATGGCACAAACTTCGGTTTCTGGAAGATGCAAATAGAAGACCTCTTGTTTCAGGAAAATCTGTATCAACCTTTGGGAGAGAAGCCAGAGGATACAAATGATGCAGAATGGGAATTACTTGATAGGAAGGCTTTTGCCACTGTCAGATTGACATTGTCAAAATCAGTCGCCTTCTATATCAAGAACGAGAAGACAACGATGTCTCTCATGGCAGCCCTTTCTAGTATGTATGAACAGCCTTCTGCAGCGAACAAGGTGCACTTGATTAAGAAGTTGTTCAACATGAAGATGGTCGAAGGTGGTAAGTTCAACGAATATCTAAATGCGTTCAACGAGATAGTTGGGCAATTAGAGTCTGTTGATATCGACTTCAAAGACGAGGTCCGAGCACTGCTAATTTTAGGGTAATTACCCGAGAGTTGGAGTGGCATAGTTACAGCGATCAGTAGCTCTGCAGGGAAGATTAAGTTGAAGTTTGATGAAGTTGTGAGCATGATTTTGACTGAAGAAATTAGAAAGCAAACAACAGGGGTTTCCACCAGTGGTTCGGCGTTGAATGTTGAAAGTAGAGGTAAGGGTTCAAACAAGAAGAAGGGCAACAGTAATAGAAACAGAGGCAGATCCAAGTCAAGGAATGGAATGACACAGTCTTAAAATTTCAGGAATTCCAAAGAACTCAGTGACGTTAAGTGTTGGAATTATGGAAAGAAGGGACATTACCGTGTTAATTGCAAACTTCCAAAGAAGGGAACCAAAAGAAAAACTGAAGCAAACTTTGTCTCAGAAGAATCAGATGATGCATTGATATGCTCTTTGGAGAGCAAGGCGGAGTCATGGGTTTTAGATTCTGGCGCATCGTTTTATGGCACCTCAAACAAAGAACTATTTAATAGCTATGAACGGAGTAACCTTGGTAAGGTGTATCTTGGTGATGATCAGCCTTGCAACATCGTTGGCAAGGGTGAAGTACAAATCAAGTTGAATGGGTCAGCTTGGAAGTTAAAGGATGTAAGACACATCCCTGACTTGAGGAAGAATCCGATTTCAATGGGATAATTGTTAGATGAAGGTTTTGTTACAAGCTTCAATGGAGACTCGTGGAAAGTTTCCAGAGGGGCTATAACCATTGCACGTGGTAAGAAATCTGGCACTCTCTACACAACTACCAGTGCTTGTGTGTCTATAGCAGTTGCAGAAAACAAAGAAAATCACAACCTTTGGCACCAAAGACTAGGTCACATGAGTGAAATGGGGCTCAAGATTATGCACTCAAAGGGGAAAGTACCAGGCATACGGGCAATTGATATTGACTTCTGTGAGAGTTGCGTGATGGGCAAGCAGAAGAGGGTCAGTTTCAAGAAGAGTGGCAGAGATCTCAGAAAGGAGAAACTTGAGCTAGTTCAAACAAACGTTTGGGGGCTAACCACTGTCTCATCCATTGGTGGAAAATCCTACTTCGTGACTTTCATTGATGATCACACAAGGAAGGTATGGGTTTATTTTATGAAGCACAAATCTGAGGTATTTGATGTGTTCAAGAAGTGGAAGGCTATGGTGGAGAATGAGATAGGTTTGAAGATCAAGAGATTGAGATCAGACAATGGTGGTGAGTATGAAGACACTGGGTTCAAGAAGTTTTGTTTTGATAATGGGATCAGATTAGAGAGGACTGTGCAAGGAACCCCACAACAGAATGGGGTTGCAGAACAGATGAACCGAACATTGACAAGAAGAGCCAGAAGCATGCACATACATTTGGGTCTACCCAAATAGTTTTGGGCAGAAGCGGTCAATACAGCATCCTACCTAATAAACACTACAACAGTTTTGGCTTTTACCAGCGCTCAAAAGCGCTGGTAAAAGTCTTAAAAAGCGCTGGTAATTCAATTACCAGCGCTTTACCAACGCTTTTTCAAAAACGCTGGCAAATCTAGTGTCGGTAGGCCTTTACCAGCGCTTTTGCAGAAGCGCTGGTAAAGTCCTTTTACCAGCGCTTGTCCAGACAGCGCTGGGATATAGTATTTACCCGCGCTTTCTGGAAAAGCGCTGGGATAGAGTATTTACCAGCGCTTTCTAGAAAAGTGCTGGTAGAGTGTATTTACCAGTGCTTTTTTGTAAAGCGCTGGTAAAGGGTAATTTTAAGTTTTTTTCCTCCCCTCCCTATACCAGCGCTTCTTAAAAGAGCGCTGGTAAGGGGCTTTTTTTTTTTTTTTTTTTTTTTTTTTTTGGAAAAAACATATCAATAGAACTACCAACAGTAAACATTGATCCAAATTGTTTTTAAGTTAACCCTGCCAATATGAAAATTACCGTCAAAATTGGCTACTAATACAACCACAAGTTAACTCTGGTAAATGTCAACCAAAAAGCAAAAATGTATACTAATACAACCACAAGTTAACCTGCTAATATACCATCCAAATTGTCTAAATAAAGCTACTAAATGTCAGACAAAAAGAATTAACAATTTTTGACAAAAGTAGTACAAGTTTTTCAAAAAGAACCCATCCAAGGCGAAGGAAATTCAGCAAACATAGCCACGACCCCATCTTCAACTTCAACTTCAACTTCAACAAGTCTTCTTGCCTATTTGATTTGAATTACCCTACATTTTTTATAAATTCATTACGCACACATTATAATAAATGAAAATTTAACATATATATAAGAGAAATTAAAAGTTCAAAACCTTAACTAAATTGGCATCACGACTAGATAATGAATTTAGGGATACTCTAGGAGGAGCATTTAACGAATCAGAACCCTTCAAAATAAGAAAACAAAATACATGAAATCTTGGCAAAAGTAAACATATATTTAGTAAAGAATAAAACTAATAATAAATATACCTATCCACTACAATTTTGTTGTTGCATTTGCATTAGCATAGCCACCTGTTGTTGTAAATTTTCCAACTTGTCATCATAGTTGGCTCGTAAATTTTCCAAATTGTTGTCATGGTCGGCTTGCATTTTTGATATGGTCTCCTGCAATTCTACGCGTGCAGCACGTGCCTCCTCATCAGATTTTTTCGCATTATTAATCAGTTCAGCTTTACTAGGAGAGGGCCGCCAAACATCGCTTGGTGTAGGCCCGAAGCCAAGCATCCGCACACGACCAGTTCTCTCTTCTCCCCTCACAATGGAGAACAAATCATTGGAACTGCCAATAGGCGAGTTAGAGTAACTTTTTTTTGAAGTACTTTTATGTTTTCCTGCCAAAAAAAAGTTTGAATCCTCACTATCAATGCATTTTTGATACTGTGCTTTTATGCGACTTTTATCAAATCCAAATTCCAATTTTGTACATGATACATGCAATCCAGAAATTTCTAAATTTAATGGGCATGATTCATCAAACTGAATGTTTTTCTTAAATCTTTGTTATTATTATTGATATTATTATTTTTGTCTTAGGGTTCGGGTTCCAGTTTAAGTGGAAGTGATTGCTGTGACATGGTAGTTTTTCAGTATGGCTCAATTGTCTTGTTTAATGTTCATGATCATGACGTTGATGGATATATTAAAATCGTAGAAAAACATGCTTCAAGATTTCTCCCTGAGATGAGAAAGGATGGTGAGCTTTAATGTTTAGAATTCCTATAGATGAATTATAGAGTTTAAGTTTATAAAAATTGTTCAACAAAATCATTTGATCCTTCCTTTTTCTGTGATATGCTATATGAGAAACATTTTTGCATCTGAGAGAAGTTCAAGGATTAGCTAAAAATGTCATGAGCTATCATATGAGAACAGAATAAGTTGAAAGTAATGTTTCTTATCAACCAAAAAAATAAAGATATCTTCATTGCATTTATTAACATGAAGGCTGAAGATTTTAATTTTTGCACTTTCATATGGCCGGGAATGATTTGATGTTAAAGGGTCAAGTAATCCAACTAGAGATGCACACATACCCTCATTTTGTTGATTTCAGTGATTTCCAGGTTGTTTGAAGCGGGCGCACTATTGCTGGATTTAGTTACAGTTAGTTACCTCCCTGTAGAAAATTTGGTGGCAACCAGGCATGTTGGATTATTTGACCCAATTTAAATAGCTGAAATTACCCTTTTAGCTATTATTTTTGGAAAGCAAGCATGAGTTCTATAAGTGTGTGTGCGCTTGATAGAGAGAGAGAGAAGGGAGGAAGGGAGGGAGGGAGGTAGAGATACAATTTGACCAATCGGCATATTCATATCGCGTGTGGGTTTTTTCTTTAATAAAACTTTCTTCCCCCTTTTAGGAGAAATGGAGGTGGGGTCCCACCATTTAACCTGAGTTAATTGCTTTTTTACTCTTCATGAATACATTGTCATGCACTTAAATATGTCTGGCTTACTAGAATGGTCTTGTGCTCCAATTAAAATCCATTTTTGCAGTTTAAAGGCCCACTTAAAATTGGGATAGAAGAAGTGGATTAGAAGGGAAATGGAATATTAGAGGTTTCATAGTAGCTGGTACAGGCTAGTCTATGTGCATGTATCTCAAAACAGTTTCTAATATACTTCCCTTTTACATACAAAAGTCAGTAGGGGTGCAAACTCATGAATGCACAAAATATACACAAAATGAACTATACAATAACCATGCTTTGATGTGAGTATTTCTTTAATACTGTGGGGAGGTCTAGCATGCCTCTTCCTTTATCTCTTGTTGGTTATTTGCCGTTTCTGATTACATATATCTAGAGTAGCAAAGTTGATGGCATTTGTGGTAAAAGTCTGAAGCTTGGTATTCTTGTCGATGAGATTGCACTATCAATGCATTTTTGGCCTTACAACAGCCTAAACCTCCTGCAGAGACCAATCTTTCAAGTGCAATTGGACTGGCTAGTCTAGAGGGATATTTTTTATGATCACCGGGAAAATAGTTTCTGCTCACAGTTTTTTTATTGAACAATTTTTGTTTTGTAAGTTGACAAATTTTGTTCCCATGTTTTTTTTTTCACCATACAGTCAATCTCAGGATATAGAAATGGAGTATGTTTAACCCTATGTCCCTAACCAACAATTTTTGTGAAAAGAGAGGTGCAACATATGCGGAAAATTTTAATATCATTTCATTGATGAAAAGTTGATATTATCAGCTGAACTATCTTTCCAGTTTGAAGCAAGAAAGAGATGATACCATGAGTTGTACACTATATATTGTCAATAAGTATCAAGTATATTGGTTTTTTTTTTTTTTTTTTTTTTTTTTTTTTTTTTCTCTATTTTTTACTCCTTATCTGTGACTATAAGACCTAAAACTTATACAGTTTGTGTGTTAGTGTAACTAAGTAAAATATGAGATGTGATCATTTTTATGTGAGATCAAAATTCTGGGTAGATTGTGTCCATAATTTCCCAAGAATTACTAGGTGTAGAACAAGGATGAAGCAATAAAACTTAGAAACAGAGAAAAGATGAGAGAACAAATAGAGTACAAGTGTTAATAGAAATTAAATACATGTTGGGGAGAATATGATTGACACATTGACATAAACAACAAATAGCAAATACTTCTCCACAACACAAATCAATCAACAAGAAGCCTCCATATACAATGATCGCATACTCCTATGCTTTTCAACAAATACAAGAAAGTAAATTATCTCCACACGGGCCGATGATAAACAATGAAATTAAAATGCCTCCACACGGGCCGATGACTTAAAAATTGGTCACTTCAAGGCATGTGACCCCCTAATACACCGCAAAGAGTTTAAAAATTGGCCACTTCAAGGCACGTGACCCCCTTTTTGCAAATGGAAGCGTGAAAACTTACAATCATCTCCGAAGCAGCAGCATCAGTAGCTTTGCCATCCTTATTTACATGTGTGCGAATGAATAAATCTGCACGAGAAAGCTGAATACCTTCGTCTTCCTCAATCTATAAAAGAAACATAGACATTGTGATATATATTATTATTTACCATTAACATTTATAATCATTCAACGATATAAGAACTGAAATAATTTATATTGCAAAAACTTCAACTAACCTCGGCAGAAACACGTGCAAAGCTTTTTGTCCCTGTAGTATGCATCATTGTCTGCTTCCCACGACGTTCTTCGTTTTTTTTACTGACCTCCTACAAAAAGTGAGAAAAAGTAAACGTTCTAACATTCCACCTAAAATATGACTGAAACCAGGTAAATTATAAATTCAATTCATTGACTTTAAACAAAATTGGTGGATGGAGGATTACCTTCGCCATAGGTGTACCCCAATGCCTAACCAAAAATTCCCAATGCTCCTTTTCAACATCAGGTGGTGGGTTTGCCAATCTTTTTGCATCTGTATCCTTAATCGAGTAATATTCACTTTTTAATTCACACTTGTACCCCCTCCATTTTTTTCCGATGGAGGATATTGTCCAATGTTTTGACATGATTCCCACATCATACTTTTCCTGAAAATGTGATAATTGCTGCATGTTAATCCAATTTTTCCATAAAAATTATTTTAATATCATTGAAGGGTTTTACCTTTACAACGTTCCACATATCCTCCTTCAGCTATTTAGGCATCTCCCACCAAGTTTTGTAGCACAAAGGAGCTAAATTAGCTTTCCGGGCAAGTGTTCCCAAATAATTAGTATATGTACCACTTCCAGGGCCGATCGGCTGTCCAAACTTATTAACCCTAAACAAATATTAACAATTGTAGATGTTTAGTACAAAAATAAAGATAGAAATCCTTTTTTCTCCTTCATATTGAATATAGTCTAATTATGTAAACTATATAAGATGATCTCTATATATATGTACCTTAATGGTAATAAGGTTGTCGCGTTTACGACATTCTTGCATCGTGTCGGGTCCCGTCTCTTCTTCGACGGTGGTTGGGATGATTTTGAAGTTGAAGCTTCAGTATTTTGTTCACTCACTTTTTCCACGTCATTAACCGTTCGTTTCATTGTCAGCTTATTATTTATCCTTCCTAGAAAAGAAAACAAAAAAGTGAGAATTCATTTAAGAGAATGCAATCAAATTGTTTAAAAAAGGCTGTGCACAATCCAAGAAAAATCAATAAAAAGAAATAAAAAATAATGTGCCAAGAATAGATCAAAACATATTAAAAATATATAAGCACACAAAAAAACTAAATAAGTTTTCATGGGAAGCGTACATATGCATGCTACAAAATATGATACTGCAATATTATTGTCAAACTTGCATATATATATATATATATATATATATATATATATATAGTGAATTAGAGCTTTTAATATCCAAAAAAGACATTTGACATCCAAAAAAGACGTTTCACATCCATTGAGTAGTAGATATGGAATCATCCTAAATCTCATCTTCATCAAGGTCATCATCAACATCATCATCTTCTTTTATAGTTGTTCCAAGCAAATCAGCTCTTGTCCAAAACGTGCTATCATCAGGTACATCTAAGTCGTTATCCACATGTTGTGCATGAAATGGCTATTGAACTTGATAAGATTCAATATCATGCTTTGGCATATCATAAAGGTCTCGCGGTTTTGTGCCAATAACCACTTTCCACTCATTGTCAATGGGATCATCAACATAGAATACTTGTTCAGCTTGAGATGCTAGAATGAAAGGCTCATCTGTTCCCAACGATCGTGACGAATTAAGAAGCTTAAATCGAAAATCATCCTCCTTTATTCCTCTACCCTTGGACAAGACATCAAACCAATCACACTTAAACAATACCACCTTCCTATTTACATTGTAATTTAACTCAATGATATCAGTCAGCACACCATAGTACTGAATATCTCCTGTGACGGGATTTTAATCTGTGGCTCTTACATAACTAGATGTCACTGCCTTTATGACAACTCCACTGTTCTGAGTCTTTCTCCGTCTCTCAACATCTCTAACATGAAACTTCAAACCATTGATCACAAACTTCTTGAACCGTTTAGCGACATGGTTTGGACCTTGTGCTAGCCACCTTAGCTCATTAGGAATTGGATCCTCACTATCTCGCAACTGTATTCATAAGGATATAACTTATATAAGAAGGTAATTTTTCTTAAACCTATAATACACCAACAACACAAAAGTCAAATACTTACACATTCATCAAACCATTTGTGAAATAAATCATGAGACATCTTCTCTAATTGTCTTGGTTTTTAATAGCGCTGCCTCATCTTAAGAAATCTCTTATGTTTTCTGCATTGTGAAAATATAATGTTAAACATATTGCCTATTAAACTAAATGAAGTTTGACACGAATATAATCATGTAATATATTGGGGAACTTAATCTTACTCAATGAATGGTTCTGCTCCATGATAATTGAATAAAACATACCGATGAGCTTGCACCAAAGTCATCTTATCTAAATTAATGAACTCTTACTTTCCCAAGGCACGGCCTTGTGCACCCAAATCATTCACTTCCTCTCCATTAAGCACATTATTGGAATTCCTTTGGGGCCTATCGAATCTCGTCTCAATATTTGTCAGATAACGTGAACAAAAAGTCAAGCATTCTTCCGCTAAATAACCTTCTGCTATTGAACCCTCAGGATGACTTCTATTTCGCATGTAATTTTTCAAAGTCATAAGGTACCTAAATATAAAGAATGAAATTTAATAATATCATAATTATTAAAAAATAAACAAACTATAAATGAAAATTCATTAAAAATCTTGACCTCTCAATTGGATACATCTAACGGTATTGCACTGGTCCTGCAATCCTTGCTTCGTGAGCCAAGTGAACAAATAAATGTACCATTATGGTAAAGAAGGCAGGTGGGAATATCATTTCTAACGGACATAGTATTAAAACAATCCGGTGTTCTAATTTATCCAAGTCTTCAGGCCAAAGAGTCTTTGAACACAGCTCTCGATAAAAGTTACTGAGCTCGACAAGTACAGAACAAACATTCTTAGGCAATATCCTACGAATGGCTATGGCTAGAAGTTGTTGCATCAAGATATAAATTTCACACAATGTGAAATGTTAGATGCATACCCATCTGGAACTTTAACATTTTTCAACACTCGACATAATGTGCTCTTTTCAAGTGAAGATACCGTGAAACTTACAGGAGGCAAATAAAATTTGTTTGAACCACGTTCTTGTGGGTGAAGTGAAGGCCTTACTCCCATATCCTGTAGGTCAAGTCTTTCTTTTAATCCATCCTTCCCTTTCTGATCATTCATCAATGTGTGAAGTATATTGTCACATATATTTTTTTTAATATGCATCACATCTAGATTGTGACGCAGAAGATTATACTTCCAATATGGTAATTGAAAGAATATACTCTTCTTTCTCCAATTGTGTGGCGGACGCGTCCGATCTTCACGCTTCCGAGCTTCATTCATTGTATGCACACTCTTTCCAAATGGTGGAAATTTAAGGCCCATTAATTCATGTAACAATTGTGGTCCAAATAACATAGGTGGTGCACACCTTACCTCTTTAGTGCCGTCAAATGCTGATTTACAATGCCTATATTTATGATCTTTTTCAAGAAAATAACGATGCCCATCATAACATATTTTCTTGCTATGATCTAAGAAATGAGAGCAAGTGTCTTTGTTATAAGTAGGACAAGCTAAATACCTTTTTGTACTCCAACCGGATACCATTGCATAACCAGGAAAGTCAGAAAGAGTCCAAAACAATGCTGCATGCATATGGAACATCTCATTTCCCGAAGCATCATAAGTTTCCACCCCATTAACCCACAACTCTTTTAATTCCTCTATCAAAGGCTGCAAATAGACATCGATATCATTTCCAGGTCCCTTAGGGCCAGGTATCAAGGTTGATAGAATAAAATAAGGCTGTTTCATGCACATCCATGAGGGTAAGTTATACATGAGTATCAAAACAGGCCATGTAATGTGTGCAACACTCATGGTCTTGAATGGGTTGAACCCATTAGTTGCTAATGCAAGCCTGACATTCCGAGGATCACTAGAAAAAGTTGGGTATCTTTTATCAAAGCTATCCCATGCTGGGGAGTCAGCGGGATGTCTCATCAATCCATCCTTGATTCGCTTTTCGGCATGCCATCTCATAGAAGAAGCTGTCTTACTTGACATGAACAATCTTTGGAGTCTTGGCTTCAAAGGAAAATATCGTATAACTTTAGCAGGAATTTTTTTATTTGTTGATGAGAATAATGTACTTGCATTGCCCTCAGTTTCTGAATAAAAAACTTTCCACATTGACTTGCCACAATTATGACACATTTCATCATTAGAGTGCTCCTTCCAATACAACATACAATCAAAGGGACATGCATGAATCTTATCATATTTAAGACCCAGGTCACCAATCATCTTCTTTGTTTCATTGAAGGTTTTTGGTAATGTCTCGCCATCTGGTAATCCATCTTTTATCACTTTTAACAGATCAGTGAATGATTTGTAACTCCAATTATATTTAGTCTTCACTAAATATAGCTTCACTACATAGGATAACTTTGAAAATTTTTTACACCCAGGATATAACTCTTGGTTTGCATCTTCCAATAGCCTATAAAATTTATCTAACTCTTCATTTGACACCCTTTGGTGCTGATCATTTTCTCCGTTGGTCTCTTCCCTCCCTTCAGTTGGAATACCAAAACCCTTGTGTAAGAGTCCATGCATATCATCATTTTTGTTTGCATTGATATCGTCGTGTGTTGTGTGTACATCAGTTTGCCGAGAAGATGACGGCACTTCTTCCCCGTGATAAAACCAAGTTGTGTATGACTGAATAAACTTATTGCACACCAAATTATCTCTCACCTCAGAACGTGTTTTTTTTATACAATTGCCACAATCAGTACAAGGACAATATATACGCCCATCCTTCCCAACTCGCTCAAATGAGATATCTAGAAATTCTTCAACTCCACGCAAGTATGCTGAACTTAACCTATTTGCATAGTAATGCATATAAAAAATCAAATTTCTTAAATTGTAGTTATTAGATTAAGTAACCTAATCAAACTACAATATGAAGTACCTTGACTGAGTTATCCAACTTCTATCCATGATATTACATCAAGTAACCCAAATAAAATATATGGACAAGAAATATATTATTGGTAAACATGATAACAATTTAGTCAAGGTATTTGAAAAGAATAAAAAGTAATATGTACAAAAAAAATCATGACTACTCCATTAAAACAAATTCCTCAACAAAATTTATTATTATTATTATGAAAATTGGATATTAATAGTTATAAAGTATTTACTAATGATAGCATAAAATCAGAATATTAATATGTAATAACAATATATTAACTAAACAGCATAAACTAAAACAATGCCACAAATACAGTATATATAGGAACAAATTGATATCGCAGCATATCTTATAGTCCTTTGACAAACATAATCAATCTCAGTGAACAACAATATTTAGCTTTCTCTTTTATTCTCAAAATTCTGTAAAAAATGTTTTCAAATTTTATTTATTTATTTTTTTCAAAATTCTTATTTCTAACAATAAAATTAAACACACTGAAACACGTATTTGGTTAACAGAAGCACTTCTGCCCAATAACAATAACTAAAAAGACAATATCAAAATTTTAGTGATAAATTTCTAAAGTTTTCTTCAAAAATTAAAATTGTCAATTTTCGTCCAAATATCTTTTAGTTTTTAAAAAAGTATGGTCTGTTCACATATTTTGTAGATATTCTTTTTAGAACCAAACATGCCTTTAAGTTCTAAAATATGTGTCCCAGGTCCTAACACTATACTTGTATTATTTTCCTGGACTAACAATGGCATCAATTGCCCAATTATGATGTCACTCTCATTTATTATTACGCAGGTTGGGCTTAAAGTTGAATTTTTAACCAAAGCCCAATCCAAGCCTAGCCTATATTATTATTATTATTATTATAAAATAATAGTAATCCAAGCTCAAGTGTAGACACACACATAAAGAACTCATATGTGTGTGTGTGTGTGTGTGTATATATATATATATATATATATATATATATATATATATATATATATAAACACATAAAAATAAGAGTATGGGGAATTTACCCAAAAAAGGAAAAGAAAATGGGGAAAGAGATCGATGTGGGATATATGAGTAACAGTTTTTTCCAGTTCATATGCTTAGATTAAATTGTATTTGACAAAAGCTTTTGCACTGGTAAAAATTGTTCATGGAATCTTGTATGCAATACAAAAAAAATGTCACTCTCATTTTTAGGAGAGAGATTTTCATTTGCATACAAAAAAGATGTCACTCTCACTTTTAAGAGAGACAATCATGGACTGAGAGTAGTGTGTAAGGATGCTAATGTGAAAATGATTGCCCTCACTTGATTTGTCTAAGCAAAAACAATGCCTTTTGTTGTTTTCTCACTGATAATATATTATTATTATTTTTTCAAATGGTGCTTCAAATGGTGGGTGTTGGAAGCATGGGGGGCTTGCTCTCACAAGAAGTTTGTGGCTGCATCAGCCGTCACAGCCTTTTGGAATCTGACTACCATTAAAACACGTATAATTGCAGGTAATTTAAGCAATTTTTCATAAAGTTTTTACTTTGCATTCTGAGTGTTTGTGACATTATGTGCCAGGGTAGTAGTTTCTCTAATGGTTGAAGAATAAAAATCTAAGGAAAATTTTAGATTTTTTAAAGGATAGTAATCAACACTCTCTCTAGATGGCTTTCACCTTCTGTGAGTCTGTAACTTGTAGACATTCAAATATTTTTCCCATAGGTTTTTATTCTGCTGACTATATATGACCTATTAGCTAGACAAATTTGGGGCTAGTTGGAGTGTTCTAAATTAAATCAAGGAAAATTAAGATGACATTAAGCTATTAGGACATTAACCATTTTGGGGCTTGTTGGACCATGCCCTGTGTACACTCGAACAAGTGAGATTTTGATGTCTTCTTCTTAAATTAATTGTGCAAATTAAAATACATTTTTCAATTCAAATATAGCCTTATGGTTTTGTAAGTTTTATGAACTATACATGCTATGTTTTGGGGACTTCTGCACATGAACATGCACTTCCTCAATTCTGACATGTAAAGAAAACTAGTGATTTTGATAGTTTCTCAGAGAATAAGAGTCACAATTGTCCTATGCTCACATCTCATTGATTCAAAATTAAGAATTTATTATTATTATTTTTTCCCGGTAATTTTTAAGTGCATTTGTCCACAAAAAAAGAGGCTCACACAAAAAGAAGCTCACACTGATAGAATATGACAAGTTTATGCAGGCATCCAAAAAATTGTGAAACTCAATTCCAGTTAAAATGGAGCATCTAGAAGATAAATGTGGCAAAACAGCCCAAGGAAAGAAGAAGTAAAGAAAAATTTCAAAGTCCAAAACAAAAAAGTTCAAACAATTAAACATAGGAAGTTAGGAGCACACCTTGTTTAGACTTCAGAAAGTTGTAAGGAGGAGGCAATGAGCTATCCAAGGCTTTCACGATGTCCAGTGCTCGGGGGTAAGGAGCTAGGGCTTTCGCGAAGAGAGTCTCGTCTGTCGACTCTGCACAAACAAAGCTAGGGCACGTTGACAAATATGGTAAATTCATAATTTAAATTTTAAAAAAAGAAATACACAGGTAATCAAAATCTGAAGGTGAACAGTTACTAACCTAAATTTTTTTTCGTCCGATCTGTTAGTGTAGACGAGGTTTTGGAAACCCCCAACGATGACTCTTTCTCTCTCTGTGTGTGCAGTAGCAATGACTTTGTCTCTCTAAACCAAGCCACCAGTTTTGGAATGCTGTGATGGGAGAGAGACGTGATGATCGGTGATGGAAGGAAGGGCGAGACCAGTGATGGAAGGGCGATAGACGTGATGATCGGTGATGGAAGGGCGAGAGAGCTGTGATGGAAGGAGAGAGACGTGATGATCGGTGATGGAAGGGCTAGACCAGTGATGGAAGGGCGACAAAGCTGTGATGGAAGGAGAGAGAGCGGCTGAAGGTGTTAGGAATGAAATGGGGAAAGTGGAATTCTGTGTTAATTGCCCCCCAAAACGGCGTAGTTTAGGGCCCAAATCAACGGAGGGAAAAAAGGGAGGGAAGGTAAAAAAAAAAGGAGGGAAAGGAAAAAGTGGGGTGGGGGGGGGGGGGGGGTACCATATACCAGCGCTCCTAAAACGAGCGCTGGTAATTAAAACCATATACCAGCGCTCCTACAAAGAGCGCTGGTACTACACACCCTATACCAGCGCTCCTACAAAGAGCACTGGTACTACACACCCTATACTAGTGCTCCTACAAAGAGCGTTGGTACTACACACCAATTACCCCCAAAAACGGCGTAGTTTAGGGCCCAAATCAACGGAGGGAAAAAAGGGAGGTAAGGTAAAAAAAAAAAAAAAAAAAAGGGAAGGGAAAAAGTGGGATGGGGCTACCATATACCAGCGCTCCTAAAATAAGCACTAGTAATAAAAACCATGTACCAGCGGTCTTACAAAGAGTGCTGGTACTACACACCCTATACCAGCGCTCCTAAAACGAGCGTTGGTAATTAAAACCCTATACCAGTGCTCCTACAAAGAGCGCTGGTATCGCTGCAACTAAAGACCATATACCAACGCTTTTATAAAGAGCGCTGGTAATAGTACACCTATACCAGCACTCTTTATAGAAGCGCTGGTAAAACCCTAATATGGTGTAGTGAAATCATAGACCATCGGTGCCTTTGGAGCATCAAATACCAGAAGAGGTATGGAGTGGCAAAGAGGTAAATCTTTCATGGTTAAAAGTTTTTGGTTGTATTGCATATGCGCATATTAGTGACCATGCTAGGGGAAAGCTCAACCCCAAGTTACTAAAATGCATCTTCGTTGGGTATGGCGGAGATGAGTTTGGTTATCGACTTTGGGATAATCAGAACAAGAAAATCATTAGAAGTAGAGATGTGATTTTCAACGAGAAGGTGATGTACAAGGATAGAGATGCAGCACAGTTAACTAGTCCCGTACAGAGTAAGCCTGAGTTTGTTGAGTTGGATGATGATCCATAGAGCATTGACGTAGAGCAAAATCCTCAGAGCATAGTTCACCATAGATTCCAACTCCTATGCCTGCACGCAAAAGGTCTACGCGACCTCATGTACCGAATAGGAAATATTTGGATTATATGTTGCTCACAGATGATGGTGAGCCTGAATGCTATGATGAAGCATGTCAAGTTAAAGATACTAGCAAGTGGAAGCTTGCAATGGAAGATGAGATGAAGTCTCTTATCTCTAACAAAACATGGGAACTAGCCAAGTTGCCCATGGGGAAGAAAGCTCTTCACAATAAATGGGTGTACAGGGTGAAAGAGGAATATGATGATTCCAAGAGATATAAGGCGAGAATGGTGGTCAAAGGTGTGACGACCCTGGATTTTTCAACCTAGTGTGTCCTGTGATGACCCGAACTGGATCCAAGATGTGGAAGCGAAAGAAGCAAAATGGCCTCAAGAGATGTACGTCATCCCTAGGCACCATGATGACTCCCTATAAAGTCACGGAATTCAAATGAATAATGTGCGGAAGCAAGACAAAGACAAGTCGTTAGAGATGTACATCATCCCTAGGGCACAAGAATGGACTATCAAAGAGTTTTGAGACTCAATGGAAACAAAATGTTGAGAAGGGCATCAAAACCCTACAAGAGAAGAGCCAGGGGTAAAATGGTCATTTTACCCCAAGAGGAAGGAATTTAACTTTCAACAAGTCAAATTAGATCTAAAACATCCTAAAACATCCTTTGGTAACTTCATATGAAGTACTAAGGCCAAAGGAAGTGAAATCCCAGATGAACCCTATCCCGGTTCAAAGCAAATCCGACACCCTCTCACTAAAACAAGGATATCTTGAGCTAGGAGAAAGTTCTGAAACTAAAACTGGTACCATTGGAAAGAAAATGAAAAATTAATGAAGTTAGACTCAAGAATCACCTGATTCAGAGTCCGGACAGAAAAGATATCAAGTTCTGAAGTCGAAGGCCTATCCCAGTTCGAACCAAATTCTAACTCTACCTTACTAAAACTTGAATATCTTGAGCTACAAGAGGAATCTGAAGCTCTAATTCGTACCATTGGAAAGCTCATTTTGACATGGTCAATTTAGACTCAAGAACGGACCAATTCGGAGTTAAAACGAGTAAGATATGGCCCGTTGAAAAAAATTGTCTGGAGCAGGAACATTGTTTGAGGGCGCCCGCCAAAGACCCGTGGGGGCCCGCCAAACACGGAAGATTCTAGCGGGTGCCCACCAGAATAGTGCGGGGGCCCGCCAAATGAGGCAGAGGGGTGGTCTGCAACCTCAAAAATTGCAGGAACATTGTTTTTAGCAGCAAAATGAACTTGCGATGAAGTTTTCGAGGTCTAGATGACATTTTTCAGAAAAACATGAAGAAGAAACTCCCCCTAAAATCACATTTTCTATGTGACAAAGTCAAGAATGGAATTTATTTCCCAAAGGAAATACCCAAAATGCACTTAAGCAAGATTTTTCAACAAAAAGGTGAAATGAATTCGTAGGAGTCTCAAAACGCAAATGAAAGGGTTTTTCATGAAAAAAATCATGCACGCAAACGTAAATAGATATTTTAAGCTCGCGGGAATGGTCTGCGGCTCCCAGAAATGGCCGAGTCAAAATCCGACCCCCCGATGGCCAAAAACGCAAAAATGAACTTGAAATGAAGATTTTGAAAACCAAAATTTACAAATGACTTTTAATGACCGTTTGACCCTTGGCCACACTTCATACATGACTAATGAGATCCTATGGCAGAATCAAAATGGAATTCCCACACCCAATGCAAACCTAGTGAAACAAAACTTGACATTTTTCAATATTTTCACGAAATCTCATGAAGTCAAAAATTTCATAGGATACAAAATACATGTCATTGGCCTCCGGCCTCATCTTATACATGTCGAGTACATTGTAAAGAGTGTACTCATGTACACATTACATATATGGAATCAGATATACACATTTTGACATAAAAGGGCTACAAATGGCTTTCCAAGCCCACCTTCACAAGAATGGAAGTCTTCAAGTCCACAAATCATCCAAGCATGATAAGAAACTCAACCTTGATGCCTGTACCTGAAAAATATGCCCACTACGTGGGTGAGTAACATAAAGCTACTCGTAGGAGATGAACATGCATCGACCTAACTTTTTACAATTTTATCACCTTAAGATGAAACATGTTAAAGGGCTCATGCCACCTAACGTCTATGTTAGGGGTGAGACTGAGGGAGCATCCTAAGCTACCCTAGATCATTTCTAGCATAATTTACACCGTCCATGCAATTCAAACAACATAGAAGCATGCTATACAAGGCAACAAGACATAGATTCTCAAAGCCATCAACTTGAAATCTAAAATACGAATCAACTAAGATGGTTCATGCCACCTAGCATCTATGTTCTAAATGAGTCTATAAGATTATTCCTAAGCTACATTTGAACATAAGAACATAAATCACGATATCGATGCAATTTAACCAACATTGGAACTTCCAATACAATGTATAAAGCATGAATTCCCAAAATTAACATCTTGAAACTTAAGATGGAAAATCAAATGTGGAACAACAAGTTATAACATCATCTAGTTATCAACTTGGAATTGAAATGCAAAATCAAACAAGGAGGATACTTGGACATCATGCCAGATCAGACCGACACCAAAGTTACTTTAGGGTTACTAGCCCACGGTTAACTGCCCTATGTGCCCACGAGACTACATAGAGGGACTATCCCCCGTACTAGAACCACGTCCTAACCGTAGCCAAACAACGACATCCCCAAGTTTCCAAAATCAACAAGTTGTACAATAACGTATATATCAACATGTATATACAAGATAGTCAACTATCAACCACGCACAACCAAATTTGTAGACACATACAATACATGCTCTAAGTCCACCACTATTGTGGCATGGAAGATATCAAAAATAAAGTGTGCAACTCATTACACAAGACAAGAATATATTCCATGAAGAAAACATGATCTTATGAACATAAATATAACAATAATGTTACTCAATGCTCCAAACATAACCAAGTGAATATACAACAAGTCTAAGTCCATAATCCTAATATAGAAGTAACTTCTAAAACATGCTTGAATCCATGGAACAATAAGATATAGTTTAATTAAACAAAAATAATTAAACTCTCTAGATTTCAATTCATTTCCAAAAGGCCTCAAAATAATATATCTTAAAAGACATATCATGGTCATTACATATATCAAATCAAAAGTGCAAAATGGGCAAGATACCATCATGTAGAATTTAATTAATCCTAAATTAATTAAATCTCTAATTTTCAAAAGTCACTCAAATGATCCCAAATAAATATATAACAAGCACTAAGTCATAGTCATACCATATATCAAGTCGAAAATATGATACAAGCAATACACAATTTACTAGAATTTAAATCAATTTAAATTCATTAAATCTCTAGATTTGAAAACCTATTCAAATCATTCCAAATTAACATACAACAAAGATCAAGTCATGGCCATGCCATATACCAAGTCAAAAATGAGTTATAAGCAAACTACCATTAATCATAATTTCTCAAATTAATACAACACAAGCATATAAGTCATATAAGCATAAAAAACATGCAAGATAACAAACATATAACCCTATAACATCCCCTACCTTACTAGAGAAGTGTTTCTCTAGAATCCAAGGCAAAATCAACACAAAACGGCAAACCCTTCTAGGGTTATGAAGAGGAGGATGAGGAGAACAAAAAGTGTTCCAAGCTAAATGGTCTAAGGTGAGTGGAAGGCCATCAAAAATCAAGGTCAAGGCCAAGGGTTTCAAGCTCCATCCTTGGAGGCTAGGGTTTGTGATGAGAAAGAAATGACATAAGGTGAAAAATGGGTGAGTGGAGGAAATAGAAATCCTCCACTCACTATGTGTTCCTACACCATGGTCAACACACACACAACTATGGTCAATTGCACAAAAACCCCTCCTTAAAACTAAAATCCAAAAGTGTCCCAAAAGTAATTTGCAAAACTAAATTGTGAGCCTACATTTGTCACAAATCCAAGGCTCCATCCTAGGCTTAATCTCAAACCTACACTTGTTAACCATCCAAGCCAACAAGTGCACCAATCCTAGGCCAACAAGTGGTTAAATCTCCACCCTCCACATGTCCTCATCTAAGGCCTCAAAGTGTTTCCATATAAATGTCAACAAGTGGACCAATGAGAGTGTGACACTTGTCACACTTTTCGAAAATTGCAAAAAGATCCTTTCCCATAATATCTTCCAAATTAAATTGCAAAATGGTCCCTCAGACAAAAAATAATAACTTTACAGTAATTACACAAAACCCCAAAGTTTAGAAAATTACAAAAAAGTTATGCACTTATATCCTTTACAAGAAAAGTAAACATTTAGCATGCTTTTCTACAAAAGCGAAAATACACATAGCATGGAATTTAAATATCGTGGATGCATGCAAAATCGGAATCAAATCCGAACACGAAAAGTAGGGTTATGCCAACAAAGTGACAACCGAGAAAAAGACGAAAGGTGAATAGTACCGAAAAATGAAAATGAGGAAATGACTCGGTCCTCACAAGAAAGTTGTCAATCCAAAGGAAAGAGTCTTGGAAACCATTCCCGAGCACTCGAGACGACACCAAGAGACGAAAAACCGAACTCAGAAAAGGAAAAACAACGGAAAAAAAATATCCGTAAAATCTGAGAAAAGGAAAGGAAGGAAAATGACCGGGTTGTTACAACCTTCCTACCTTAAAGGGATTTCGTCCCCGAAATCCAGCCCCAACAAAATAAAAGGCGAAACTAAGATAACTACGAAGTACATCTCCGAGTATCCCACACAATATGCTACAAAAACAAATCCCAAAATAGAAAGACAATATACAACCCAATGTCATTCGCGCCCATGTGCTCACAACAGGAAAACCTCTTCAAAAGAAGAGTGACCTCACGGGCACACGACAAGTCAAAGGTCATACACAGAACTCAAGGTCAAACAAAGGAACGGAAGACAACAACTGAAATCATCCCTCCTGCTGAACCATCATGCGGATCCAAAAACATCCACTAAAAAGGACTCCAAAATAACCACGTATCAAATCAGGGTACTGAACAAAGACGACATGGCAGTACGAATAGCGACCAGAACCCGCCCATGACGTACTCAAATGTGTGGTAGCAATGACAGTACCTAGTGCCCGCCCTCACTTACTCGGGTAGCATCGACGGCAACTAGCACTCGCCCACAACACACAACTTGTACTGTAACATGACAGTATAAGGCACTAATTCATAACCTGCCCCTACTAGGTCTACCCATGAAACCTCTCGATACAAATGACATCAATGCCAAAAATGATCAGTACCAAAGGCACCACGGAGGCCAGACATTTTGTGAGAGTTGAGATATAGTCCACAGACGTTCGGCCGGACCATCTTGGCCAATCCTAAACTTTGACAACAATGCCGTAGGCACCATTATGCTTAAGGCCCCAAATCCTCAATACAGCAAAACCAACATCTCTAACGTCTCAAAATGCTACTACCAACAATATCAATCGAGAATCCAAAACTTGAAAAGCAAATCAAAACCTCTAAAAATCAAAACGAACCTCACCATAAAACATTTCATCAGAAGTCTTACATTTCTCCCCGAAACAGATCAACTACAAGACCAATCACCACGATCAAACATCAGATCCACATCCCTATCATGGATAACTAAATCCTCGAAATACAAGTCCACTAAGTGGCACATACATCAAAATCCTAACAACCAAGGTCACAAAATGAATCTCTCAAAACCGTTCTTGGCAATACCATGCTAAATCAAAATTCCTCAATTTTCCATCGATCCATAAACAACCACTGGAAGCCTTTTGTAATGACCATTGCTACTACTTCAAGAGGTTCAAGTCAAGTTTCATTATCCTTCTACTTTATGTTGGTGACATGTTAGTGGCAGGTTTTAATTTTGAAGAAATCAGCAAATTGAAGAAGCAGTTGTCTAGTGAATTCGAGATGAAGGATCTTGGTGCAGCGAAGTAGATTCTTGGGATGAGGATTAGTAGAGACAAACAGAAAGGTACTTTGTAGTTGTCTCAGGCTGAGTACGTTGAACGGGTTCTGAAGAGGTTAAATATGAATAATGCTAAGGCGGTGAGTACTCCCTTAGCTAATCACTTCTGCTTATCTCAAGATCAGTGTCCGAAGACAGAAGATGAGAAAAACTTCATGGCTTAAATTTCATATGCCTCAGCCATTGGAAGTTTGATGTATGCCATCGTGTGCACAAGAGCAGACATTGCATATGCAGTGGGAGCAGTAAGCAGGTTCATGAAGGATCCGGGCAAGGTACACTGGGAAGCAGTAAAGTGGATATTGAGATATCTACGGGGTACCACAGACAGATATTTATGTTTCAGAAGGGGTGAAGTGAAGTTACATGGTTATGTAGATTCAGACTTTGCTGGTGAGGTGGACCACAGAAGAAGTACTACTAGGCATGTGTTAATGGTGGGTACAACTGCAATTAGTTGGGTTTTGCAAATACAGAGGATTGTAGCGTTATTTACTACAGAGGCAGAGTATGTGGATGACAGAGGCTAGTAAAGAGATGATTTGGTTACAAGGTTTGTTGACAGAGTTGGGATTTGAACAGGAGAAGAATGTTTTGCATAGTGATAGTCAGAGTGTGATACATCTGGCAAAGAATTCAGCATTTCATTCAAGGACCAAGCATATAGGACTTCGGTATCACCTTATTAGATCTTTGTTAGAAGACGGGGTGTTAACACTTGAGAAAATACTTGGCACCAAGAATCCGGCTAACATGTTGACCAAGATAGTGACCATGGAGAAACTAAAGTTGTGCGCAACTTCAGTCGGTCTTCTAGCTTGAAGATAGAGAGAAGCGCACCGACATGTATAGGACATGCATGAGAAGAAGATGGAATGGGTTTACAAGTGCTCCAGACTCCAAGTGGGAGATTGTTGTGGTTTTGTGGAGTCTAATTAGGTGGAAGATTTTTAGAAAGATTTAATTATATGGAAACTTCAAGAGTACTGAATTTTAGGGAAAATTCAGTTTCCTAATCTAATTTGACTTCCTTATTGGTTTGAGGAAAATTCAATTTCCTGATTTGATTTAATTTCCTTATTGGTTTTGGATTCTACAAAAGGCAAGTTCTTGTAAGACAAGTTTGGGACTCTATAAATAGGGGTGAAAGTTAAAGATAAAGTTGTGCCAATACAAGAGAGAGCAATTGAGAGAGATTGAGAGAGAATTCTCCTTGTAATTCTTCATCTTTTTCATAGTGATTTTGTTCAGTGTGCTCCATGGACGTGGCCCAAAGATTTGGGTGAACCATGTATATTTTGTGTTCTTGTGTGTGATTTTTTTTTATTCTTCGTGATTGCTTGTTTGTTCCTTGAACAGTGTTGTTTATTTTGCATTTCCGCCACAACAACTGGTATTAAATCCGGTTGATTGTGTAGTGCAACTCTAACATCTCCTATAGAGACTTTTAACTTGAACAATATCAAGATCCTTGTAGAGCCTTTCCAAGTCAATTGCTTCTCGTCAATAGTGTCAAGACCCCTGTAGAGCCTTTCCAATTCAATTCCATTGCATTTTTGCTTCTCAGACTTATGAATTGCACAACCCATCTTTATCTTTTTCTTTCAATTCAGTAAAAAATCAATTCAAGAAAAAATAAAATAAGAATAGGAATCCTTATATTCAAGTTAAATACACTGAAATTAAAAGCTTCGAACATCAAAACAACCATTGACCAAAAAGATTAGCAAGAATTAAAAATTCCTATATTTTTACTCCCAAATTTGATTTCCAAAAACTCACTATATAAAAATTCAAAATCTTCTCTTCGTAGAAAAATTTCAAAAGTCAAGCTCTTTCTTGTATATTGTACATATATTCATATATTTGTATATCTATATAAATTTGTTTCTCGAAGGGAGTCTTCTGCTTGCCTGCTTGAAATTCGTTAAGATTCAGATTTTGAATTAAAAAATAGTGATTTAAAAGTGAAACAGAATAGCCTCTAATATTAAGCAAGAAAAAAAGGGCGGATCAAGTGATGCTCATTTAGGAGAAAAGTGATGCAAAAGCAGAAGACTGTTAGTAATCTAAGTGATTCGCATAACTTGTAATGCCCCGAATTTTTTTTTCTAAATAAAATCTTCGATTTATTCAAATCAAAATACTTCAATTTCCACCCAGAATCTCAAAAGAAAATACCATTTTATTGATACAAATCAATTTCCTCAATTAAATACACAACTTCTCTAAAATAAATAATTTAATTCCTCTAGTCCTACTCTTCCTCCTAGCCTGCTACTATCAATCCAAGCTCATCCTCGGTACCTGAAACTGTAAGGGGGTGAGACGGGGGAAGTCCCAGTAGGAAAAACCATAACAAAAATCTCAAGGAGGTTTCATGAAAATTAGTTCACAAAATATAAATATATTTTTGAACAAAAAAAATATATATATGCAATTTAACAAAACAACATTAACAAAATGTTTGAGATAAAATCACCCAGACAATTCAAGATATAAAGAACCCTACTCTTTAAAAGAATAAATCAATACTGGATCATCATGCCTCAAGTCCATCTCGGCTCTCTGCTCAAATAAAATCTTGGCCCTTTGCCCTTTAATTTTTCTCTTCTGTTTACTCACCAAAACAGACCAATATATATAGGCAAATGACATAGCACAACAGGTCACCATACAACAAAAATCAAAACAATTGCAAACTTATCACTAAGTGCACCCCGTGCGACACCATCATCACATTTCTTGCTTTATCTTACTTTCTGCAGACACTTGCTGCCACTTTCTTTCTTTAATTTTTCTTTACATTAATTGTATACACAATACCCATGTGCACAAAGTAGTATTTAACCAAAATATCAACTAATAGGCCCACCACTAACACCATTTCAAACTTTTCTTTCTTTTCTTGCATTTTCGGATGGGTGCAGTCCTTCAGCAGACATCACAAATGAAACTATATACTATGTATATATATTCAATGTAACAAATCAAGACCCATAATATCTCATTTAGTGGGGCCCATTATCATCATCAATTTCGCTCCCTTTTTCCTCCTTAATTCTTATCTTTATCTTCATATCTTTTCATTCCATACAACACTTAACAAAGAAACATCAGCCACCGCAAAAAAACCACGTGAGAAAAAAATCAAAGCCAAAGGAAAATTGTCCACAGCAATCACAAAGTACGTGGGACCTGCCAAATTACCATTTCCATTCAATCTTTCATTCTCCTCTCAATATCGGCAGCCTCATCACCAACTGATGCAACAAAGATATATATATATATATATATATATACTGTGTAACAAAAAATAATTCAACCCATTAAAAATATTAATTAAGTAAATCCATTAGACATTCATTATACTCGGCTGGTAGCACTCATTCACCATTTCGGCACTACTCCCTTTTGATTCAATCTCCATCGGATCAAGAAATACAATATAAATTCAATTTCAACATAAATAAATCAACCCATTAAAAATTTCAATTGGGTAACTCACCAAGTCTCCAATTAAAACAAAATAATCAATTTGTAATTGATAAGCCTTAAATCATAATTAATCAAATTAATTATGACAACAAAAATTGAACCCATTAAATCTTTTAATTGGATAAATCTCCAATTCAATAATCAATAATCAATAATCCAACCTCGAATTGGTAAATCTCCAATAAAAACAAAATAATCAATTTAGTTGACCACTAAAAATCAAGAGTATAAAATTTAAAATCTTAAAAAAAAAAAATCCGGGTTGTCACATAACTGCATAAGCATTTGGGATTTTGGAAAATTGTTTCGCGATCCAGAACTGGCATGAGAGAGTGGAGCGCTTACTCCCCCGATGAGAAAAAGATTTCAATTGCTCTATCTCAGAGCCCCGAAGCACCAAGATTTCATTTTTTTTTTCTTGATAAATTTGTTTCTCTTTTTTCTATAAAAAAAAATGATCTGTTTGTATTGCCTATCCAAAAGAAGAAAAAGAAGAAGAGGAGAAGAGAGAAGAGAGAAGAGAAAAAAACAGCGAAATGCCTTACTGGTGAAATCGGCCGCTGCTCTACTTCGCGCTACTTCAACTCCTCGCTTGAACCCCAATTTTGTAACCCTAACATTGGTATTGAGATACAAAGCATCTCTATTGCTCTCTCATTTTGATCTCTCAAACTCATAATTTGAGAGATGGGTAAAAAAAGCTATTCCAATGACCTTTCATTTGACCTTTCAAAATTTGAAAATCTCAAAATTTCTCTCAAATATAAGAGCTGCCAATTTTTTTTGGCAGCTCTCTAACTCCAACCCCCCCCCCCCCCCCCCCCACACACACATATGTATAATTTCAAACACACACACACACACAATTTCAACCCAAATTCGTCTATATATATATATATATATATATATATATATATATATTTAAAAAAGATCATAAAAAATTTCACCAAATAGGATTTACTTTACAAAACAAGAATTACAGACCTTGATTAGTTGATTTAGGAAAAAAAATTAAAACAAAACCCATACATACAATTAGTAGTTGCAGAGAGAGAGAGAGGCCAAGCTTGAGAGTTGAGAGAGCGGCTGAAGCTTGCGAACGGTGAACCCGAACTAGAACAGCAGGCGATGTAAATTGAAAGATATGGGTTTTTGAACAATCTGAAATGATATACCAATATGGGTTTTGATCTTTTGATTCTTGCAGACAGATAGATAAATTGAAATATATGGTTTTTCAACTTCTGATTCTTGTAGATTTTCTAGTTTGCAGTTGCAGAGAGGGAGATAGAGAGAGAGGGGGAGTTCAGAGTTGAGAATGAGAATAGAGATGGAGGCAATTGGGGAGGCTGAAATGATTTGCCCTAAAAATATATATTTTTAATAATAACATACTCAAATATATATAATATACATATATATATATATATATATATATATATATATATATTAGTCCTTTTTTGACCAGATATTTTAGATTTTTGTTTTTTTTTAATTAAGTTTAATTTTAGTGTGACGGCCCAAGTTTTTCAACCCGGTGCGTCAGTGATGAACGGAAAGATGACCCGATAAAGGATCCGAAGTGCGGAAGCAAAAGACAAAACAACGGTCTCTAGAGATACAACATGGCTCTAAGACACCATTATGACCCTTAACGAGGTCACGGAACCCAAAGGAATCAAATGGGGAAGTAACGTTCCAAAAACGAACAAGATTAAACCTAGGGACAAAATTGTCATTTCTAGCTTAAAGTGGGTGCCACCGAGCACACCATTGGAAAGACAACAAAAAATTAATGAACTTAGACTCAAAAATCGCTTGATTCGGAGTCTGGATAAAGAAGATATGGCTAACGGAAGAAGAAGGGGCAAAACGGTCCAAAAGAGGAAACCCATGAACATCTAACCGGTTAGATGGCCTATCTAACCGGTTTAAAGGCCAAAAATAGTGACAAAAACGCTGCCCACACTCATCTAACTGGTTACGAAGCCCCATCTAAACGTTTAGATGTGAAGGGGTAGTAAGGGTGTGACCCAAAAACCTGGCAGTAGGGGTTTTTCCAGAAAAAATGGAAATTTGAGGGCCTATATGACATTTTCTGGAAAAACTCAAAGAAGAAACCCCCCTCAAAATCAAGTTTTCTATGTGACTTATGTGAAATAATTAAAAAAAAATCACTGTAAAATGCCCAAAATTCCCTCCCAAGAAAACTGGTCCAGAGAGTCCAAAAAGCTGCTAAATTTAAAAACTGAGAGCTGAACTTCGTATGCGATTTCCGATACCAAGAATACATTTTCTGGAAAAACACAAAAAAGAAACCCTCCCTAAAATCATGTTTTCTATTCACCCATGTTGAAAGAAGGAAAAAAAAATTTGAATTGAAAAGTCTAGAATGCCTCTAGATCAGAATATGCAACAAAAGTGCAAAATGAGTCCGTAGAAGGCTCAAAACACAAACGATGAGGTTTTGTCCGAAAACGACCATGCACGCAAATGTAACTTACCAATTTAGACGTGCTACAATAGTCCATGGCTTAAAAACATAGCCGATGCAAAATCCGACCCCCTAACGGGCAAAAAGGCAAAAATGGACTTGCAATGGAAAACATGGAATTCAAAAATACAAAATGGAGTCAATTGACCGTTTGGCCCTTGGCCACACTTCATACAAGATTAATGAGACCCTATAAAAGAATGAGAATGGAATTCCCACACCCGATGCAACCATGGTGAAGCAATGACTTGCGATTTTTCAAGATTTTCACAACATTTCATGAAGTTAAAAAGTTACATAGAATACAATATACATGTCATTGGCCTTCGGCCTTATCTTATACATATCAAATATATTGAAAGAAGTGTACTTAAGTACACATTACATACATGGAATCGAATATATATATTTTGACATATAAGACTACAATTGGCATTCCGAGCCAACCTTCACGAAAATGGAAGTCTCCAAGTCCACAAACCATCCAAGCATAATGAAGACCTCAACTTTGATTCTTGTACCTGAAATATGCCCCAGTATCGTAGGGTGAGTAACATAAAGCTACTCGTAGGAGATGAGCATGCATCGACCTAGCATTTTACAAATTTATCACCTTAAAGTGAAACGTGTTAAAGGGGCTCATGCTACCTAACGTTTATGTCCAAATGAGACTCGGGGAGCATCCTAAGCTACCTTAGAGTCTAAGCAACAAGAATCATGATATACATACGTGTATGAAACGAATCATGGTTGGGATAATCTAAAGAACACGACAAGAAGAATGCTTGAGCATAGATTAACATGAATTGCGTTTTCAATACAATTGAACTAGGTCTAGAGTAATCAATATAACATGACAAAAGCATATTTGAATATAAGTTAACAAGGATCACATTATCCATGCAATTCAACAATAAAAGAGCATGTTGTACAATGCAACAAGGTATAAGTTCTCAAAGCCATCAACTTAGAATCTAAAGCACAAAATAACAGTGGTGGTTCATGCCACCTAACGTCTAAGTTCTAAATGAATCAATAGGATCAATCATAAGCTTTGTTAGAACGTCAAAACACAATTTTCAATATCGATGCAATTTAACCAACATTGGAACTTCCAATACAACGCATAAAGCACAATTTCACAAAGTTAACATCATGTAACTTAAAATGGAACGACAAATAAGGAACAACAAGTTACAACATCATCTAGTTATCTACTTGAAAATGAAATGCAAAGTCAAACAAAGTGGATACTCGGACGTCATGCCGGATCATACCGACAACATAGTTACTTTAGGGTTACTAGCCCATGGGTAACCTTCTTATGTGCGCACTAGACTATATAGAGGGACTATTCCCTATACTAGAACCACGTCCTAGCCATAGTCAAACAACGACGTCCCCAAGTTTCCAAAATCAACAAGTTGTGCAACAACGCATATATCAACAGGAATATGCAAGATAATCAACTATCTACCAAGCACAACCAAATTTGAAAACCTATACAATACGTGCTCTAAATCCACAACTAATATGATATGATGAATGTCGAATCTTCAATGTGCGATTCGTTACACGCTATGCATGAAAGATGTTAAATATAAAATGTGCGAATCATTACATAAGGCAACAATACATTCAATAAGGAAAATATATTCTCACGAGTATAAACATAGCAACTATGTTATCCAATGTTCAAAACATAACCAAATGAATATACAACAAGTCTAAGTCCATGATTTGAATATAGAACTCACTTCTAAAACACAACTAAATCATGGAGCAAATTGATAGAATTTAAATAGATAAACACAATGAAATTCTATAGATTCAGATTCAATTCCAATTAACCTCAATTTAACACATGTTAAAGGACATGGCAAGGTCATCACCTATATCCATTCTAAAACTCAATTAGGTTGTTAGAACAATAAA